ATGAGGCTCTTCAGCTGAAATAAATACTTGTCAAGTAGAGTTAGTTTTTCCAATAGGAAATCTCATGATTTTTCATCCTGTACAGAACATCGTCCTTGCGCGTGCCTACTTCTTTTCATATGGGACTCCGTATTATCCCGTTATCATTAGTTGCTGCGGCCGTTCTCGGGACGATCGAGGATGACTCAGTCCGGCTCTAGTCTAGAGCCGGACACCAAAGTGTTAAAACCAGTCCCTCCCGGATGTCTCAGGGATTTCACAGACCCCAAATACAACGAGTGAGTTTAGTCTCCATATTAGGGTCCGTTACTCATGAGATATGTAATATTGAGGAACGTCTTCTCAGGGACGAATGCCTTCCACTATTCTGGAACCACATGATTGTAAGTGCGGCCACTCCCAAGATAACCGAGGAGCTCAGGAAACTGAAGTAAGTTGTAGCAAAATGGCGTTGAGGAGAGTTGAGAATACAATGTCTCATCAGAAAGAATGTGAGTGACGCGACTTACTATGAAGTAGACCTCTACGATGTGGTGTCCTCAGACAAGGGTAAAACCCGTCACCCGAGTCGGGATTCGCTGCTTGAACACTCGAATCTCAGGCACAACCTTCACGAATGTGCTTCGCGTGCTTCCTCAAATGTACCGGATTCACACTGTCATTGACGAGCCCCCCCAAGACCAGTCAGCCGATGCCCCCCAGTTCGATGTTACAGTGACTCTCGAGCCCCCCTCGATAATCGAAGGAAGAGGTTCTGAAGGCGACACGATCTCTCCCTCGAGCAGAAAGCTCAGAAGTGGCATCAAAGGGAGTGAGAAGATCAGCTTTCAAATGGCGACCCCGGGGACTGGTAACCTAACACGATCTTACTACCGCCATTTGCCCCCGGAAGGTGTCGAGATCAAGGGTATACTCATTCAATACCATGGTTGGTTTGAAACATGTGAGTTTTTCGAGAATAAGTTCCACAATTCTGATATCGCTGACAAGTACGGCCTCATATTGATATCCGCCTGTGGGAGCGGCTATGGATGGTTTTCGTCCGGACTGTATCCAGTGCATGCATGGAATGCGGGTGTCTGCTGCATTTCGAATCAGAACATCGACGATTTTGAGTATACCAGGATTATCATCCAAAGAGAGAACAAGGCGAATTTGCCAGTCTACGGTTATGGTTACAGTAACGGTGGAATGTTGGTGGAATCTCTATTATGCCATAAGATCATCCAACGAGCCGTATCGGTTAATGGTGTTCTAGCTCTCCGGCCTGGTCTAACCAAAGCTTTCAAGGTTTGCGATAATATCTATGATGACACTACTGTGGTCCCGAAACCTCCAGCACCGAGAATGGCCAGTGTACACTGTATAGACGATGGAGTAGTCCCTTACAATGGTTCAGTCTATAGTCACAGCTCACTCCACTACATCGTGGGAACCCTATTTCCTCGAACTAATCGCGATGTGAATAGGTGGGCCAAGAAAAAAAGAAAAAGCCGTAGTATGATGTAGTAATGAGGCCGTAGTACAAAGAAAAGAGGCACTAAGCCTTCTATCTATCACGAGTGCCCTCGAAAGCGAGAAGCCTCATTTAAGCCGCGAAGGCAGCAGCGGGCACTAAGCCCAGTACACCAAGAGGTCTTGCAAAGAACCAAGTGAACAGACGTATACGACGAGGGGGTGAAGAGGGTGGCATACATCGGAAGAAAAAAAAAGAATTGAGCTCTGGCAACCCGACTTGCCGGTGCTCAAGAATAGCTGTTTCTAAATCGATCACGGGATCGATGACGATCTGCGCAAAGTCCTGTGCGCAGGTTCGAGTCCTCGCTCATGTATCTCCGCATTTTAACGTGTCAAGCGCTGGCGTTGCCAGGCCCTTAACTAACTGAAATACTAATAATATTGAAGGGGTCTATCGGTTATACCGTGAAACTTCCGACGGTAAAGCTCACAGCGACTCGGTGAATTCCACAACGATTCGATCTGATAGATATTGTCGATTAGACAGTTGGTATTATGCAATTCATCACGACCTGGTTGCCTAGGCGAGCAAATATCGCAATACTAAGGCTACGCAATACCGAGCACAAGGCTAGGCAGTTATGCAAGGCAAGACAAGCTGTTATGCAAGGCTGCGCGGGGCGAGCGCGAAGTTTCTTTAGAAAAGATACACTTTCTTTGGAAATGTGGATTATACCGCATCACGTGTACTTCTCGTCATCGCAGTTGTGTTGTTGCGAGTGGTGCATGGAGGTCGCGAGTTCGAGTCCCAGCACATGTAATTTTTCCAGCTTCTGTGGTATGCTTTGGCACATGCTCATTTTGAAGTTGACTGGTGTTGTGTTCTTTCTTATGAGAGGGAGGCTGGTGATAATCGGCAATATTAATTTCATGGCGCGCGACAAATTTTAACCTAGCGTCGAACGACAGTTTGCGGACCTCAGATCTTTCTCTTTTGTGATGTTCCGAATGGCCTCGTCAGTGGCGCTGAGAGCTCGAGCTCGGATGATGGGTATAAACGGGGTCAACGAACTCCCTCGTGGATATGTTCCCCGCCCTGGGATGAAATTACCGCAAAACCTGAGGCGCATCCAAGGCTCTCCTGTGCTGCCTGGTGTGCATCTGCCGATCCCTGCTGGAGAGGCTGTCGAGAGAGGAGCTCATGCAGTGTGCACGCACGCGCAAAGTAGTGTGGGGACGCTGGTCGAGATAG